TTATTGGATAACACTCCCCTGAAGCTCTTGGGACATGTTACTACATTAAAGGAGCTAGGGGCAGGCTCGAGGGGCCACATGGCCTACTCCTGCTCCTAGTTTTTATGTTCTTATATTCTAAATAAAGGCAGTTTACAAATGTACTGAGGCAGTGCTGAAGTCCCATCTATCCTCTTGGGGAAGGGAGGGAGAGTGCAAAAACCAGAATCCAACGGCACCCATTTCGAAGGAGTTTTCTGAAAACAAAAATGTGCTGGAGATCACAGCGGGTTGGGCAGCATCCATGGAGAGAGAGCAAGCTAACGTTTCGTTGGTTGGTTTTCTCTCCACGGATGTTGCCCAACCCACTGTGATCTCCAGCACATTTTGTTTTCAGTTTAGATTCCAGCAGTAATTTGCTCCTAGGTGGAATTTTCTCCAGGTTCCGCTCAGTTTTATTCGCTCAATGGAGCAAATCCTCCAGCCGTCGCCATTGTACCATTTGTGGGATCTTGCTGTGTCACATTTCCTACAGTGACCTGGGTCATCCTGAGATGGTTTAAAAAGTAAGAGAGACAGTATATAAACTTTGAGACAGTAAGAACTGCCGATGCTGGAGTCAGAGATAACACAGTGTGGAGCTGGATGCCAGGCAGAACCAGAGGAGCAGGAAAGCTGACGTTTCGGGTCGGGGCCCTTCTTCAGAAAATGGGGGAGGGGGAAGGGAGCTCTGAAATAAACAGAGATGAAGGGGGTTGGGGCTGGGGAAGGTAGGTGGGATGGTGATAGATGAGTGCAGGTAAACTTCCTGTTTCTTATCACAGAGGCCCAGAACCCGCTGCTACCCAATTGCAGGTTAAGTCTCATTGAGGTTGCAGTCCTGACTGCCATTATCATTCCCATCACGATGTACCATACCCACGGAATACACTGGCAGCTGCCATTCAGTTGCAATAGAGAGCCTGATCACAACACCCATGTAGAACAGAAATCATATTTTGTAAATAACAGCAGGCACCAAGCAGGGACCTCAGAGGTGTAATCTAATGTCAAGGTGTTAGGAAGAAGGTCATTAACCACTCATGCTTCTGAAGTGTACATTATTTTCTCATGTCATTCAATCAGGGGCAGATAGAACATGCAAACTTTTTAGATGAATGTGGCCCATTCTGTTATTGTGAGTTACTATTACTGGTCGCTATGGTTACTGAGCGCTGTTAACTCTTTTGAGTCAGTGGAGTGGAAGTTGCTGGAGTTTTGGTCTGTGTGCAAATTTTCTGCTCACCGTTTTACTGGAGGTCTGGAGCTGAGTAATCGAACCCTCAGCCACCTCAAACAACGCATCAGTGATCAAAAACAAGAACCAGCATTTATTTAGCGCCTGTAACGTGACAGCTTCGAAGTGCCTCAAAGGAGTGTATCCGAGATAACAATTACTCCAAGACGGGTGGGGAGGATTTGGGACCAGTGACGAAAATCTGGTCAAAGAGGTAGGATTTAAGGAAGGGGAGCTGCTGGGGGAACCCCAGAGCTTGAGGGGGGTTTCTTAGCAGCTGAAGGTAGAGCCAATAATTGTGAGTGGTAAGAATTGGGGATGTGCCAGAGGTCAGAATCAGAGCAGTGCTGAGATCTCAGTGCGACCAGAGGAAATTACAGGCATGGAGAGGGGCAAGTTTGGGGCAGCACGGTGGCACAGTGGTTAGCACTGTTGCCTCACAGTCCTAAGGACCTGGGTTCAATTCCACCCTCAGGCAACTATCTGTGTGGAGTTTCCACATTCTCCCCATGTCTGTGTGGGTTTCCTCTGGGTGTTCTGGCTTCCCCCCACTGTCCAAAGATGTGCAGGCTGGGTGGATTGGCCATGCTAAATTGCCCATAGTGTTCAGGGGTGTGTAGAATAGGTGGGTTATAGGGGGATGGGTCTGGGTGGGTGCTCTGAGGGTCAGTGTGGACTTGTTGGGCCAAAGGGCCTGTTTCCACACCGTAGGGATTCTACAATCTATGAATTCATAGAGCAATTTGAAAACCAGACCATGAATTTTTGAGCTTAAGGTATTGCCAGGCTCAGAGTCAATGTAGGTCAGTGAGCATAAGGAAGGATTAGGTGATTAAGACCTGTGTGAATGTGGACACAGGTCGCAAAGTTCCCAGTTTTTTGTTTAATTTCATTGCTTCTCCTGTAGACCTTACAGAGAGAGCAAAGATTGTCGGGGTGGGGAGCAATGCATGTGGGCATTTTTAATTCATTCATGAGATGATGGCATTGCTGCTGAGGCCAGACCTTATTGCTCATCTTTAGAAATGCCCTTTAGAAGGTGGTGGAGAGCTGCCATCTTGAACCGCTGTAGTCCATATGCTCTCGGAAGATTCACAATGTCATTAGGCAGGGTTTTAACCCAGTGATACTGAAGGAACAGCGATATATCTCCAAGTCAGGATGGCGAGTGGGTTGGATGGGAGCTTGAAAATGATGATGTTCTCATCAACTTGTTGCCTTTATTCCTCCAGGCAGAGACTGTGGAAATGGAAGGTGTTGTCAATAAAGCCTTGGTGAATTGTTGAGGTGCATGGTACACGCTGCTGTTACTGAGCATCGGTGGTGAACAGAGCATGGAAGGTGGTAGGAATGGCGTGCCAATGAAGTGGGCCACTTCATCTGAGATGGCATGAGGTTTTTTTTTTCGTGAGCAGTCATTCATTTTGACCTCTCATTCTCTGGGAAGAATACTTCACAGAGAGTTTTATTATTTTCAGTCAGGATTTTAAAGTCCTCGATTTAGCACAGGGTTGTTAATTACTTGGCTAGTTTGTGATGTAGTATGACACCAATAGTGTGGGTTTAATTCAAGCACTGGCCATGAAGGACCTTCCTTCTCAATCCCTTCCCTTGTCGAAGGCACAGTGACCCTCAGGTTAAACCACCAGCAGTTGTTTCTCTCTGATGGGAGAGCAGGTTTGGTATGACGATGGTGACTTTCCCTTTATTGTCTACCATTATTAACATCTCACTGAACTTTGTACATAGAGGCGTAGTCAAGTCCTGAGGGCACCACTGGGCAGGGGGTCAGAGCAATTGTGGATCTTCAAGGATTTTAATCAGGCCTGTGGCCCATTCATTGAGCAAAGCAAAGGGACATGATCATGTTGTTCTGGGGTCAACCACCAGGAGAAGTATAAGAGAGCCTGATTTGGCTGGCCATTACTCAGACCCTCCGATGGAGACTGCAATGGAGATTGGCAGCTGCCAGAATGAATATCAAGGAAAGGTTTGGGTTCTCGAGAATCTTGACAGTTTTGGAATCTCCTGCAAGAACTTATCCTTTCCCAGGATCTCCTTGCTGCCTGGTTTCTCACCTCCCTTTCCCATACAGGGTCCTTCCTTCCTAAAGCCAAGATTGCAATGATCTGTTCCTTTTGGATTAGGTCGGCACATCATTCCCAGTGGTGTGCTACACCATGACTGGAGTGTCAGACATGCATGGCTCTGTCGGTAAGACTCTCTGTGTGACAGATCGTAGGTTTGAGGCTTGAGCACAAAATCTACACGATCACTTATACTGCTGTACTCAGGAAATGCTGCACTGTCAGAGGAGCTGTCTCTTAGGGTGCCATGTTAGACCAAATCTCATGTTAAGATTTTGAAGAAGATCCGGGAATGACCAACATTTAACCCTCAACCAATGTCACTAAATGTGATCCGTATCTCCATTAAACAAAAACGAAAGAACTGCGGATGCTGTGAATCAGGGACAAAAACAAAGTTGCTGGCAAAGCTCAGCAGGTCTGGCAGCATCTGTGAAGGAAAAAACAGAGTTAATGTTTCAGATCCAGTGACTCTTCCTCAGAACACATCTTTGTTCATTATCTCCATTGTTGTGGGGATGCTGGTGTTGGACTGGGGAGGGCAAAGTCAGAAATCACACGACACCAGGTTATAGTCTAACAGGTTTATTTGAAACCATAAGCTTTCGAAGCATTGCTCTGGTGTCATGTGACTTCTGATTTTATCTCATTGTTGTTTGGGGAAGCTCACAACGCACAGCTCGATTCCCACACCTTCATTTACAACAGTAAGGACACTGCAAAACTCTGGGATCCTGAGGTTGTGAAAGGCATTAGATAAATGTGAGCTTTTTTGTTCTTTATTTTAGGAGTTCATCTAGGTTGTTCTACGTGCTTGTAGTCCTTTGAGGGAAACCAAAATAGGAGCCATTCAGCCCATCAAACTGCTCCACCAACCAACATGATTATGATTGATCCTGTATCTCAACGCCATACTCTCGCTGTCTCCCCATGCTCCTTGACATTTTTAACCTCTAGAAATGCATCTATTTCTTAAATATATTCCGTGAGCTTTGCCTCCACAGCCTTCTATGGTAGAAAGTTCCAGCACTATTTGAGTGAAGATGCTTCTCTTCACCTCAGTCTGAAATGGCCAACTGTACATCCTAACATTGTAGCTCCTTGTTCTGGATATTGCGGTCTGGGGAAACGGCTCTTGTGCATTCAGTATTTCCAGGCCTGTCAGAATTTTATGTGTTTATATGAGAGGTCCCCTCTTATTCTTCTAAACTCCAGTGAATACAGGACCAGTGACCCAACCTCTCCTCGTCCAACAAACCTGCCATCCTGGTCTGGTGAACCTTCTCTGCACTCGCTACACAATAATGTTGCTGCACTGTTCATTCAGAAACCCATCGGTTCAAATCCCACCTTGGCAGCTGGTGGAATTCCAATTCAATTTTAAAAATCTGGATTTAAGTCTATTCATTAGTGATGGTGACCACGAAGTTATCATCAATTGTTGTAAAAAAAATGAACTGGTTCACTAAAGTCCTTTAGGGAAGGAAATCTGTCGCCCTTACCTGGTCTGGCCTACATGTGACTTCAGATCTGCAGCAATGTGGTTGACTCTGAACTGGCCTCTGAAATGGGCAACCAAACCACTTTGCTCTAGGGCAGTCAGGGATGGGCAAAATGCTAAAAAAGAATTCTGTCCTGACCACTTTTTCAAAACTTACCCAGGACCTCTAGAGGTACTGTGTCTTGCTCATCATCAATCCCCACAACCACTTCACACTGGTAGATGCCTGTGTCACTTGCTTGCAAAGAGACAATCTCGAGGCTGGCATTGTAGTGGTAGGGGCCGTACCCAGGCAGACTGGCTCGGCCCTGGTAGGCCGGGTTGAACTTTACTGTGTTGTTCTTGGCGACCAGCACGGGGATTTCCTTCCGGCTGCCCCCTTCCAGCAAGACTTTAGTCCACTTAATGCGTGGGGGGTCAGGGAGCAAAGAAGGGTCGATGGCTGAGCTCGGAAGCACAGAGAAGACACAGGGCAGGAGAGCTGAATCCGATAATCCCCTGATGACCGGCAAATGCTGGACCTTCTTTATGTTCACTATCTTCTCATTGTCACCTGTCATTGTGGAGGATGGGGAGAGGGAAGTAAAGACTTGGTCAATGGTCAAAAGGAAGGCATTTTAACATGTCAAACAATAAGACATAAAAACACAGAAAATAAGAACAGGAGTAGGCCATTCAGCCCTTCAAGCCTGCTACACCATTCAATATGATCCGGGCTGCTCATTGAACCCAGTCCCCTGTTCCTGCTTTCTCCCCATGCCCTTCAGTCTGTTTATCTCTCAAAAAATTGCAATCTTTTTCTTGTAAACATTCAATGTTTTGACCTCAACTGCTTACTGTGGTAGTCAATTCCATAAGCTCATCAGCTCTAACTGAACAAATTTCTTCTGATCTCAGTCCTACATGGCCTTCCCTGTATTCCTAGACCGTGACCCCTAGTCCTAGACTTCCCAGACATTGGGAACATCCTTTCTTCATTTACCCTGCCTCGTCCTGTTAGAATTTTATAGATTTCACCTTATCAGATGGTCTGAAAGTGAGCTTTCTTCCAGCACTAAGCAAGTTCAACATTTTTGAAGCCCAAGGTTCTCTTTCATCTTCCTGTTGTGCCTCTGTCACTCCTGAAGTAATTGTAGTCTCAGCCCTGAACTCTCATCCAGTATGGTCATTTAAAAGTTAACCATCTCTTCAACTGGGAGGGGATGGGCTTAATGAGTGGGGGTGGGTTGATTGAGGGTTGGGTGGTAGGGAAAGCACCTTCATCTGCCAGCTTTCCAAGATACTGTCACAAGGATCTTACCATGAGGACAATGCCCCACCCTCTGAACAATGTGTATGGTCCCCAGCTATCCTTGGATCTGCCTGTAGCATGTTACACTGGTCCAGTTGGACAAACAGTGTTGGAGCCCATCTCCCTGCAGTTTGGGGCCTCACAGAAGGTATATTGGTCTGGGAGGGTTTACCTTATGAGCCTGGGTGGTATTAACCTGTCTCAAGGGTCCTTGAGTTTGGCTGGGTGAGGGGCGGTCTAATTAAAATGTTAAACTGAACTACCATGGCACACGTGGTCCTTGCTAAACAGATTCAATGCTGCTACAAAGCCAACCTCCAATGGTAGAGCATTCTGATCTGAAACGTTAACTCTGTTTCTCTAAACAAAAAAGCGGCCAGGTCTGCTGAGTTTCTCCAGCATGCTGGGACCTCAGTACAAATCTCTTTCACACTTGCAGAGGGACACAAACAAAGCCACATGTTACTGAGGGGTGGTCTTTCTGCAGACTAAGTGGTACGTTAATCACCTTAACCTCAGCAAATGAGGAGGCCATGGCTAATCTTCCAGGATTTGTACTCACTAAATGTTAATTTTGTCTTTCCTTGGGGGCAAGAGGAGTGTGGGGAATCAGAACAAGAGGGCAGAATCTTCAAATTAGATCTAGACAGTTTCAAAGAAGTCATAGAGTTTTACAACCTTACAAAAAGCATTCAGCTCATCATGTCTGTATTGATTGACAAATAGTGGGAGGAGTAAATTCAAGACACTGTTTCCACATGACAAACTTAATGCGTATGTTAAAGAATAGGTTTCTGCAAGGGACGAGATATCACACAACGGTGGATAAATGTTATTAAGATCCAGATCTAATTGTATCAGGGAAGAGGTTCCATTAATTTTAAAAGAATGAGCCTACAGCCAGACATTGATTGTTTTATGAAGTTGCTTCATATTGAATATTGTTTGGAGGAATATCATTTTGAAGCTCATTGGAAAATGGATTTATTTCACATTTTGTGGGCATACCTGGAGTGGTTTCTTTATGAGAGGTTGTTAAAAGGTCGCTGTGAAGATTAAGGAAATTTTAATAAGACTTCCTAGATATCACATGTCTGATCATACCTGCTTACTTTGTTATAGACTCTGTGGGGGCTGTTCTGAAGATTGACTGGCTTTGAGAATGTTCTCCTTTATATCTGGTTCAGTTGGAAGGAAACCTGCTAATAGTAAGCTGAGTTGGAGGAAATATTGCTCAGAACAGGCTGCCTAGAGGATCCCCTTCCATTTCTGAAAAGAAAGTCTCCTGCATCAGCTCAGGGTGAACAATTTGTTGTTTTGGAAGGGTGATTGAATGAATATCTCAAAAATGTACTCCCTGAACAAACTGTATCTGCAAAGACCTCAGAGACACTGTGTGTGACATGACCACATGTGCCTGAACATCAGAGCAACAAACTTCAGAACATCCTATTGCATTCAAGAATTTTTTTCTTCATTCATGAACGGACTGAGGGCATTGCTGGCTAGGCAGCATTTATTGTCCATTCCCAATTGCTGAAAGGGCAGTTCAGAGTCAACCATATTGCTGTGGGTCTGGAGTCACATGTAGGCCAGACCAGGTAAGGGTGGCAGTTTCCTTCCCTAAAGGACATTCGTGAACCAGATGGGTTTTTCCGACAATCGACATGGTCATCATTAGACTCTTAATTCCAAATAATTATTGAATTCAAATTCCACCATCTGCCGTGGCGGGATTTGAACCCATGTCCCCAGAATGTTATCTGGGTCTCTGGATTAACAGCCCAGCAATAACACCACTAGGCTATTGCCTCCCCGTTGGGCCCAAAGATTGGGTACCAACAAAAATTGATACCCATTGGCCAAAGCATTTATCTTTTCAGAAAGCCAATTTCTACAATATAATCTGTTTTTTATCCTCTCTTTCTCTGAAGAGTGCTTGTGGTGTGAGTTTTGGGGATGTTCAGAAGGCTATACATTTACATTTCTACATTACTGTGTATGTTAACCAATTTTTGCATCTTCATTGAGTGAAGTGTGTTTTGATAATAAACCAGTAATTGTGTTGAGTAACAAACCTGGTTGATAGATCTTGTTTAAACCCTGACATAGGTAAAGTATTTAATTGATCACCTTGGAAACTGGAAAATATATTTTTATTTGATGTTGTGAAGTAGTGGAACTAAAGAGATAGTGCTTTCCTCCAGCTTCAGAGTGCTAATTGATATGATGTTATATCAGCAATTTTACAGATTGACAACTTGCACTGTTATTGAGGAGGGGAAGCCAGGATAGTTCACCATCAACCAGGGATAAGACAGAACAGACAAGCTGCCTGATGCTAGCTGACGTTTAAAAAGCCAAAGCATTGACCTGCAATTTAACATCAGGTAAGGTAATGCATAATGCTGTGAAATCAGAGAAGTTTGTGATTATAGTGTAAGGCAGAAAATACAAGAGATCATAAGATTGCAATCCTGTGCTGCAGAAATGGTCATTCACAATCCAACATCATCATCTTGGGGAGTGTAATCCAGCTCATTACAATCTCCATCATATTAGTCCATTTTCATAACTGATGTTAAACCCTTGCAGCAAACCAATTAGCTTCACTAAAGTGCAGACTGTACCTTTAGATCGAGTGGATAATTTGTTTGGCTGGATAATCAGCATTTATGCTTTAAGGCCAATCTTTTGCTGCTCTTTTCTGTGGATCTTTAGATTTTGTACAGCTCTATAGAATCTTCATATATTTGAGGGCACTTAATTCAGTATTAACAGAATCTCTTCCATCTTTTTAACTGACAGCAAGTAATTGTTGAAACTTCAGAAAAATCTCCTGATCAAAGGTTTACACTAAAGAGAGAACTTGCATTTGTTTAGCATCTTTCACAACTGTGGGCCAACTCAAACACTTCACAGCCAATGCACAACTTTTTGAAGTGGAGTCACTGTTGTAATGTAGAAAATGCAGCTGTCAATTTGTGCTGTAATTTCCCACAAACAGCAATGTGGTAGTCCGCAGATCATAGGCTTCTCTGATATGAAAGGACAAATGTATGGACAAGACACCAGGGAGAACCCTATCCTTTCTTATTCAATATAGGACAAAAGGAGTTCAAGCTCAAATCCAGAGGATTAAATCACATAATCCAAGCTGACACTTTAGTGCAGCCCTGAAGGGATGCTAAACTGCTGGAGGCGCCAGTTTTTGGAGGAAAAAGTTGACCTGATGCACGCCTGCAATCTCCAAGTGTTAGCGATTCCCCCAGTAAGTGCAATTTCTTCATATCCAGGTAAATAATTATCCTGCAACAAGGGATTATCTGGTTATCTGATTCCTCCCGGTCGGTCAGTGCTTGCTGTGAGCCAATTGACTGCAGCATTTCCTGCACTACAGTGTTGTCCATATTTCAAAAGTACCTTATTGGTTTTAAGGGCCATCCTGAGGTTGTGAGACATGCCGCAGAAAAATGCAGTTTCTTTCTTAAGGCTGGAGTCTTGCTGATCTGCCTGTCTCCATGGAAACAGGCCAATATTGTCTGAGTTAATCTGAGGTGTGCATTGAACTGAATATCCCTTTGATTGCTTGTAATTTATCCTCCCAAAGCCTAAGTCACAAACCTACCTGTCTCGTGTAGAGATGCAGCAGAAACCAAGCAGAGACAGAGCCAGCCGATGTGAAGAGGCACATTTAGCATGCTTAACCTGAAAGAAGAAAGAAAAAATTCCACCAGTGATTACTCCTAAAAGTATCAATGATGAGGTGCATACAGAACTGGCATTCACTTTGGTGAGTTACTTCTCGCTAGCCCTGCTCCGTCTCCCCTCCCATTCCTTCCTCACCACCTCACAGCTGTGAAACAGACACCACACAATAAATATTTTAGAGTCTTGCAACAACGGTTTGCTGGTCATAACTTCACTGCGGGAACTAAAGCATTTAGAGGCAATGTCAAACAGGAAGAGACAATACTGTGTTACCCAATACTTCACAGTACATCCATCCAAAAGTTATGTGACCTCTTGAGAGAATCAAAAATCCATATGTACGAAAACCCAGCCCACCAGGTGAAATGAAAAATCAGAAAATTTCCGCCCCAATCCCATTAGAATACCAAAACCGGGAAAATATCCTGGCCAGGTTTAGTGTTGTACAGTAGACCCCACCCCAGACTCAGTTATACTCAGTTACATACACACACACACACGCACGCACGCACGCACACATAGACACACACGCACACACACACACAGACACACAGACACACACACGTACGCACACACACACTCGCACGCACACACGTGCGTACACACACAGTGACACACACACACACACATATGCACACCCACACACACACACACACACACACACACACAGGTAGACAACGACTTGCATTTAGATCTCACCCTAACATGGTAAGATGTTTTGCCTGATTAATTATCAAATAAGATTTGATGTTGAGCCAGATAAGAAGATATTGGAATGGATGATCAATGCTCAGTAAAAGAGATAGGGATCAAAGAGTTGCTTGAATGAGGAAAGTGAGGCAAAGGGCTTCAGGGATGGAGTTCAAGGTCTGGGCAGCTGTAGACATGGCAATTAATTGTGGAGAAATTCAAATCAGAGATGCGTGTGACGCCGTCATTGGATGAGTGCAGAGATCTCAGAGGGCTTTACAAAGAGACAGTGGAAAACAAAACTACAGACTGTTCATAAATTGAAGTATATGTGTATACACCAAGCAATTTCTGATGGCATATATGCATTGTGCCACATTAAGAGTTCACAAAGTAGCAATGCAATCTGTTGCCATTCCTTATGGGATAGTATTAGAGGGAAGGGCAAGGTTAAGAATGGAGCGGAGAGGATATTCATAGTAAGTACAGAAGGGGCCCTTCAAGTCTGTACCTCCAAAGCTACACTAAATCTACACTAGGATACTGGAGAAGAACAGGTGATTGGATAAGGAATGTTATTGGAAGGGGACTAGAATGGCGTTGATATTGAGTGGACCAGTGCCTTTTGAGCACAGAATAAAGAACAAAGAACAAAGAAAATTACAGCACAGGAACAGGCCCTTTGGCCCTCCAAGCCTGCACCGATCCAGATCCTCTATCTAAACCTGTCGCCTATTTTCCAAGGATCTGTATCCCTCTGCTCCCTGCCCATTCACGAATCTGTCTAGATACATCTTAAATGATGCTATCGTGCCCGCCTCTACCACCTCCGCTGGCAACGCGTTCCAGGCACCCACCACCCTCTGCGTAAAGATCTTTCCATGCATATCTCCCTTAAACTTTTCCCCTCTCACCTTGAAATCGTGACCCCTTGTAATTGAGTCCCCCACTCTGGGAAAAAGCTTCTTGCTGTCCACCCTGTCCAAACCTCTCATGATTTTGTAGACCTCAATCAGGTCCCCCCTCAACCTCCATCTTTCTAATGTAAATAATCCTAATCTACTCAACCTCTCTTCATAGCTAGCGCCCTCCATACCAGGCAACATTCTGGTGAACCTCCTCTGCACCCTCTCCAAAGCATCCACATCCTTTTGGTAATGTGGCGACCAGAATTGTACACAGTATTCCAAATGTGGTCAAACCAAAGTCCTATACAACTGCAACATGACCTGCCAACTCTTGTACTCAATACCCTGTCCAATGAATGAAAGCATGCCGTATGCCTTCTTGACCACTCTATCGACCTGCGTTGCCACCTTCAGGGTACAATGGACCAGCTTTAAATTGAGGGGTGATAGATATAGGACAGATGTCAGAGGTAGGTTCTTTACTCAGAGAGTAGTAAGGGCGTGGAATGCCCTGCCTGCAAAAATAGTAGACTCGCCCACTTCAAGGGCATTTAAATGGTCATTGGATAAACATATGGACGATAATGGAATAGTTTAGGTTAGATGGGCTTCAGATTGGTTTCACAGGTCGGCGCAACATCGAGGGCCGAAGGGCCTGTACTGCGCTGTAATGTTCTATGTTCTATGTTCTAGAACACTCAGATCTCTCTGTGCATCAATTTTCCCCAGGGTTTTTCCATTTACCATATAGTTCATTCTTGAATTGGATCTTCCAAAATGCATCACCTCACATTTGCCTGGATTGAACTCCGTCTGCCATTTCTCTGCCCAACTCTCCAATCTATCTATATTCTGCTGCATTCTCCGACAGTCCCCCACAGGTTAGAAGGCAGGTTGAAGCATTAACATGGGGCAGCCTGATACCTGAGAACAACAGGCCATTCAGCCCAAAAGGAAGGGGCAGTCATACAGAACTAATGACAGAATGGCTCTCTTCACAGTATTCATGGAAGACATGAATCATAGCCCATCCCAATGGAGAAATAAGGAAACAAGTCTTTTTTGTCACTGGAATAGAGGAGCAAGACACCTCATTACTGGGATTGTGTGAATAAAATCACAGAATCAGAGAATGTTGAAGGGCAGAATTCAGCCTGTCGTTTCTGCCCTGGCTCTCCAAATCAGCAATGCACCCACTGTCATTTTCAGATTTCTGCCCCCATCCCTATCCTTCACAGATAATGACCCAATTCCAACTTAAAAGCATTGATTGAACCAGATCTCATGCTGTCATTCCCAACCACTTGCTGTGCGGTTCTCCCCATGTCATCATTGCTTCTTTTGTCAATTGATTCAATCTGTGCCCTGTTCTCATTCTAGATCCTCACCTCCCATCACTGGGAACAGTTTTCCCCTTTCTACTCGTGTGAGAAACCCATATATAAAACCCAGTCAGGGTATTACATTGCCACGGTACAGGAGCCATAACCTCCAAAATTTTGGGTTCAAATTCCAGCATAGTAACTTGCGAAAGTGAATTGATTTGTGAACAGACACCAGGAGAATTGACAATGAAAGTAGTAGGATTGGCATATCAATACCAAAGCTGGGGTGGGTGAGAAAAACATTTAAAAGGCCCTTGCCAGCGAAATGCACATTTCACACAGAAATAATCAACAAAAAAATTCACGTCGCACAGAAAAGAAAGTGCCTTTCCTCCAATCCTTTCCTTTCTCCTTCGTGTGCCAACAGCACCTTCAATAGAAAATCTCCAATCCATCACTGTTGACATTCCCCGGTCCCCTGCCAACTAGTCTTAAGGACTTTCCAAATCAAATTGCCAAATTTCGGATACTTTTTTGTGCCATGGATAAGTAACTGGGAACTGAGAGAAGCTGTTCCTAGGCTAATTTACATGAGCCTGTAAGCAACATCGAACAACCCAGGAAGCCATTCAGTCCCTCAAAACCATTCAATGAGATCACAGTTAACCTGTATCTTATCTCATCTTTCCACTTTTCTTTTCTGCCATGGGAATGCAGTTGGCAAGAGGTAACGGGTAAGGGATGGAAATCCATGTTTCTTTAATTCTTTAGTGGACTGGGATGTTAGCAAAACCAGCAATTGTTATAGAGTCATTGAGTCATACCGCACTGATACAGACCCTTTGGTCCAACCAGTCCACAACGACCATACTCCCAAACTAAACCAATCCCACTCGCCTGTGCTTGGCCCATATTCCTCCAAACATTTCCTATCTAAATGTCTTTCAAATGCTGTAACTGTACCTGCTTCCACCACTTCCTCTGGAAGTACATTCCAGTCACGAACCGCTCTCTGTGTAAAAATATTGCCACACGTGTCTTTTTTAAATCTTTCTCCTCTATTTAAGGTTCTGGTGAAGATTTGTAGCCCGGGTTGTGGATGAGGTTGTTGGCTTTCTCGCCGAGCTGGCTGCTATCGTACAGACGTTTCATTACCATGCTAGGGAACATCATCAGCAGTGAGGCCTCCGATGAAGCCATGTTGTTCTACGCTGCTTGATATTGATATGATCTGGCCTGTTAGGTTGGGTTGTGTCATTTCTGGTTCTGTTCTGTATGAGTTTGTATATGGTGTCTAATTCCATATGTTTGTTGATTGCATTATGGGTTGAAAACCAGGCCTCCAGGAATTCCCGTGCATGTCTGTGGTTGGCTTGAGGTAGGATGGTCAAGGTGTCCCAGTTAAATTGATGACCTTCATTGTCCGAGTGCACTGAGATGAGGGAAAATTTGTCGTGTTGTTTTGCTGCTAGCTGGTGTTCGTGTATCCTGACGACTAGTTTCCTATCCTTCTGATGTAATGTTTGTTGCAGTCGTTGCAAGGTATTTTGTAAACTACATTGGTCCTGCATGCCATGGGTATGGGGTCTTTGGACCTTGTGAGTGCTTGTCGTAGTATGGCTGTGGGTTTGTGTGTTACCATGATTCCTAGTGGTTGCGGGAGTCTCGTTGTCAGTTCTGATATGTTCTTGATGTAGGGAAATGTGGCCAGTGTCTTGGGGTGTACTGTGTCCTCTTGGTGTTGTCTATCTAGTAGGCACCTGTGGATGACGTTGTTGGGATATCCGTTGTTAGCAAAGACCTTGTATGGGTGCTCTTCCTCCTTCCTACATAGTTCTGGTGTGTTGCAGTGTGTTGTGGCCTATTTGAATAGTGTCCTAACACAGCTTTGTTTGTGGACGTTGGGGTGATTGCTGTGGAAATTGAGGAATTGGTCAATGTGGGTTGCCTTCCTACATACTGTGGTTTGGAACTCCCCGTTGGTCATTTCTTCTACCCTGATGTCTAGAAATGGAAGTTGATTGTTGTCTTCCTCCTCTCTTGTAAATTTGATCCCATTAAAAATGC